ACGCTAAAAGAAGTTCTCAGAGCTCTCCCCTCCTTCATAACCTTTCCTCACCAAATCTATAAAAAAAATCATCAGAATCACTCCCACATCTCTTTTGCTATTCTAGGGTCAAGAGATATACAATCTTTAAGGTTCTAAGTGTTTATTATAGCTTAAATCACCTCGCTCCGCTCTTCTCAGGTCTTATCAAGGCAAAAATATGACCGATAATCGTAGATCGAGCAGAGTAGAAGCAGCCAAGACCAAACATCCTTTGAGTTCATCGTCAAAAGGAAAATCGTCAAGGAAATCATCCAAGAAAGGGAAAGAAGTGCCCAAGAATTGGGAGGCTGAGGCCCTCATCGCACGAACCAGAAAGAGGAAACAACCGGAATCCCAGACAGAAGATTTCGCTGAACCTGAGGAATTACCAACCAAAATTCCTAGGGCCTGGAGAGACAAAGAACAGAAAGAATATTCTCGGTTTGTCCAAATCAAAGTTCTTCCCTCTAAACTTGTTCATCCCGGATTTATGAAGAAATTAGGGCTTTACGAAGATCTGCAATTGGTAATGACTAATATGGGACTTGGGTTTTTCTTCAACTACCAAGAATTCCATCACAAAGTGGCTGTAAAGAAATTCTTTGCTACAGTGGAATTCAACTATGCTAGACCAAGGGAAAAGAAGCCAAGTGAAGGGAAGCTCACATTCAAAATCGAAGAGCCATTACATACCCTCTATGTTTCTGAAGTATGCAAAGCCTATGGCTTCCCAGATGGATCAACCTTTTATGAAGCAGCTGATTTTTGGAAAGTGATTGGCAGTGGACCATACAAGGAGGGTACCACCAAAGGCACACCCATAAGGAATACTGCCCTTAGGGTCGCCTAGAAGCTTTTAGGCAACACTATATTTGCGAGGTATGACATCAACCATATCAAGTTGATGAACTGGCTCTCTTGTATCAAGGAGTCAAAGGCTTGATACGAAACAAGAACGGTGAACCTTTCACTTCAGATTTTAGCAATGTTAATTTGATCATACCCTAGGCAAGGAACACACCTCACCCTGATCTCTATTTTGAGGCCGATTTTTTATGCTACCAATGCTGATTTAAGTATGGAATACCCAGACATTAAAGTAGAATTCATTGGGGAAGACTATCTGGTTAAATGTTTGATACTGAGAATATTAGAAGATGAAGTG